AAACCCACAAAAAAAAAAAAAAAAAAAAAAAAAAAAAAAAAAAAAAAAAAAAGTGAAAAAGTTCTTGTATAATAGCAGTAAATATTAAAGATGAAAAGAAGACCAAAATGTCACAACACAGCAAAAAATTTTAAACATGTAACAAATTTAGAAATACAGAAATCAGGGCCTGCATAAATCAAACCATTTTTATTTTCCCCAAGTTAGTATAATTAGGTCCAGTTCTATCTGGAATCCCTAACAGCATGGCTTCTTCTTAAAGGATTGGGTAATAACCTTCAAGAGTTTGCATGGATTAACGAGGAAATGGTACTTGGCTGCCTTAACAGGTAATTCATACATCAGATTTCAAACCAACACAGAATGACACTACAGTATTGTGGAGTGCCTCTCCTACACCACCACAGAACCTCAGCATTGTTGAACAAGTGGTCCCTAGCCAAGCTGTCCACTGGTAGGACCTGTGTTGGGCTCCGAGCAATTTCAGGAGAGCACCTGACAGAGTACTGCACCTAAAACTGCCCTCAGTCCCCTTGCGTTTAGCAGGGCTGAGGGCTAAAAGTATTCCTGAAGGAGAAAAAGGCGACTTTCATTTCTATCAGTCTCAACATCTATCCCTGAGGCACAAGTCTGGGAGAAGACATTCAACTCAGCTTTAATTTTACCAACTTTCTCTTGCCATCTCCTATTTTCATGGGTTTTTCTAAAATCTAACTATGGGGCCAGGGATTTGGCTCAGTGGTTCCGCTGCCTGCCTTGCAAGCACAAGAGCCAGTCTGGTCCCCAGTACCACAAAAAATAAACAAACATATTACATAAATAAAATGTAACTGTGATCCAAAATGGTTTCCTAATACTTTAGGCTATGAACTAATGTAAAATGAAAGTTGAAAGAAGACCACTGAAACTCTGAAGCACCCAGTTTTCAGTGAGAAATCCTTGATCCAGCAAACAGGCTCTGGAGGACAGTGATTAACTTAAGTCTTGAAGGCTGATCAATTAGATCTCTCAAATCTCAAAAATGTGGTCAAGAGAAAATTTTATTCTTTCACGTTGTGCTCATTCCAATGTCAGAAACTTATCTGTAACCCACAGTTTCCTTCTTCCCAAAATCCTTGTTCCAATTTACATGTATTAGAAACCAACTGTCATGAGATGAAAGATACATAGAATACCCTTGGCATTATAACCTTATTTTGCTAGTAGTATTTATATTAATGGAATATTCACTTATACAGGAACTACTATTCATTTACATTTGTGATTTATTTTTACATCTCAAATACATAAAATGACCCCCACGCCCCAGTGTAGAATCCGGAGGTTCATAATCTCTTATCCAAAACACTTGGGATGTTGTTTTGTTTTGTTTTTGGTACGGGAGATCAAACTCAGGACCTTCTGCTTGCAAGGCAGGGGCAGAACCCACTTGGGATGTTTTGACATTCAGATTCTTTGGATTTTCAGACACATGTACAGTATAAACATGACACTCTCAACTGGACCTGGGATACCCCACAACAAAACTTTCTGTAGGAACGTGTGTGACCATTAACACAGTGGATAAGTACAGGCCAAATAAATTGCCTCACCTTGATTCTTTGGTCCAATGCGTCTGGATAAGACTCTGGGGTGGGGGACGACAGATTTTCCTTTCATAGATTCTATATTTTAGAATTGGGAAAAAGGACCTGAACCACGGTCATGAACGGTAGAAGAGGGAGGTACTACCTCCTTTTCCTTGGACACCTGTTAAATCATAAGGTGAATCTGATCTCATTTAAAAGCTCTTGTTCTTAAGACAAGGATGCCCACTATCACGACTTCTCTTCAATATAGTTCTGGAAACATTAGCCACAGCAATTAGACAAGAGAAAGAAATTAAAGCAATAAAGATAGGAAAGGAAGAAGTTAAACTATCATTATTTGCTGATGATATGATACTCTACATTGAAGATCCAAAAAACTCCACCAAAAAACTTCTAGACTTAATTGACAGATTCAGTAAAGTATCTGGATACAAGGTGAATACCCAAAAATCAATAGCCTTTCTATACACAAATAACAGACAGACGGAAAGAGAAATAAGGGAAAAAATTCCTTTTACAATAGCATCCAAAAAAATGAAGTATCTAGGAATCAATCTAACAAAAGAAACAAAAGATCTCTACACTGAAAACTACAGCACTCTGAAAAAAGAAATCGAAGAGGATATAAAAAAA